GGCGAGAGGCGGAACCGGACGGAGGAGGTGCGTGGAGGGTTTAAATAGAGTTGGAAGGGGGAGAGAGCGCCCGGGGAGGAAGGAAACCGGCGCGGGAGGTCGGCCGCCATCAATGGCGCCGGCGAGATTTGCGGGGGGCAAATCCGCCCGTTTGAACGCGAGAGAGAGAGGGAAAAATGGGGGGAAAGGGAAAGGGGATCACGAGGAGTATTTCCCCCCACTTTATTGCACGCGGGGACGACGGGAGGTGGCGGGATTCGCGGCGGCGGGAGCGGCGGGAGATCGGGGATGACGGGTGGGCCCTACCCGTCAGCGAGGGAGGCGGGCGGGCCCACCCGTCAGCGGCGCGCGCGCGGGGAGAGGCCGAGTGGGCTGCGGGGAGAGGAGAGAGAGAGGGGGGAGGAGAGATGGGCCGGGCCGGCCCAAGGGAGGGAAGGGGGACTTTTAGGGTTTTTTCTTTTTATAAAACTTTTTCAACTTTGTTTATTTCTTAATAATTATTATTTGTGCTCTGAAAATTCCACTAAAATTTATTTACACATTTTAGGCTTTTAGGAAATATAAAAAATCCTCTAAGCCTTATTTGACTTTTAACTTTGCACATTTTAATTGTTGGAGGCTTTCACACGGATTTTTATTATTCTAGGCATAATTTAAAGGATATATTTTAGAGTCGTTTTGGGACGTGACAAAATCCTCTCTTATAGCTAGGATATGGTGATTGGTGAAATTAAGTCTTAACCCTCTTCACCATGAATGTCCGAGATAACTGGTTCCTTAATTCGATAAGATAGTTACAGATGATTGTGGCTCTGGCATAATGCTTATCTCACCGTTATCGGAGTAGGTGCAAGGGGCACACACCAATAGAAGGACATTACTATTGTTTTCCTAATACCTCTCATTCCAAAGTACGTAGTGGTTATGCTACTCTAGATATTTTTTTGTACGGTTTAACTTTTGTGGATTAAATATTTCAAGATCCTGATATGGAAAGATATTCGCTAATATATATAAGTTCTATTTAGATAATGAAACAACATATGTCTCTGGAACCATGCCTCGTAAAAACCTCTGGAACCATGCCTCAGCTCCTGTGGTATTTTAATGCATGGGATGCCGATTATATATGATCCCACAGAGGTTTGATACTCACTTTCTCACTTGCATATAATTAGTATGAATAGACGAGTGAGAGATATATCAGTTAGCTCTTGGCAATGGAGTAAATGAGTAAGTAAACTTTAATTAAAGAGGGGGACATCATCACATAATACTGAATCTTGGTGGCGCATTGGCGAGTGGAGAATTGATGTTGTGTTGCGTTGTAGCTACTCATGCAGAAAGGTGCACAAATGATGCCATGGTTTCGAAAACACTCACAGCGATATTCTTTTTCCAAAAGATAGCATATTATATATTAGCATTTAGTTTATTTATAAAATTTAGATCGTTGGAAGGTTTAATCAACAAGTTGTAACTGCAAATTACCACATTATTTTTTACTAGTTAGATATTCAATATCTATTTAAACACCGGCACCTATATGAAGAGAAAGATACTGATTCTTGAGATTTTGGTGGGTTGACGGGTGTGTGGGTGGGAAAGGCACTATAGCTGCCATTTTTACCAACTCTGGCACCTATTTGCCGACTTGTATTTGATGTTTTGTGGTAGAGCTTGTTATTTTGCCCTTAAATTAAATAGACTTGTTCTTTTGTCTTCGAGCGATGGAGAGCCAAGCAGTTTGATCGCTCTCGGGCTGGGGCGGTGGTTTATCCGTACTTGTTGTCTAGTAACTCTCAGCTCTTTTATCTCTTTACTGTGTAAACTGATATGTGATTTGTTTTCGATATAGTCTCTATTCTTGTATTTGTTTTTATGTGTTAACTTGTACATTGTTACCCGTAACAGAAATTGAACCAAACTAACCAAGACTGAAAATTTCCAGTCTTGTAATTTTCTAGAAATAACCGAAACTTTGGAAAAACCAAAGAGCCAAACCAGTAGGTTTGGTCTTACTGAATACCCACCCCTACTTGAGAATTAGGGAAGAATGGTTATTAATATTTTATCTCATAGATGCAGCAACCGGAAGTTTACTTCACCATATACAAGGAACGGATGCAATCTTCTTCCTACAGTCTAAAATAGCATTGTTGTTCCACAAGAAAGTGTATCCGTCACTAAATAAGTGCTGCTATCTAGTTTAAAGTTGAACTAAAACTGTACTTATTTTAGAACGGAGGAAGTATCAATTTTTATGGTGAGATTTAAGTTCTATTACAGTACTATTTAGAGTTCCTCTCTTGATTATCGATCCCCATCGCATTGAAAATTTCATGTCTACTTGCAAACAAAATACTAGCATCTTCCCTCTCAACTACCATTGATTCGCTCGTTAAAAACTCCTCCTAACCAAACGCAACCTTATATATGCACCCCTGCATGCTCTAACAGGCACAAATTAGAACCATTAATTCGACTCTTTTTCCTCTACACCGCACATTGCTGCCGACAAGCGCTGCCGAGGAAATTGAAGAAGACCACACGCTTGACCAAAGCTTGGTTCCTATTATCTGATTGGAATGCTAGGCATCGGGAAAGAAGTCTATGCGCTTCATCCCATGAGTTCGCAGTGCAAAAAGAGATGCTGTGTGTAGAATATTGCGTGTTGTCCACATAGAAATACAAGACATGCGAAAGGTTTGTTGTGTGTAGAAATTAGAATATTGCGTGCTGTTCCACACAGAAATAGGAGATATGGGAGAGGAAGATCGTTTTATAGTTCCAGGTATCTCGTTCTGTGGGTGGAGATGATACCAACGTGTCTTCGACTTGGGCTGGCCAGTACAAAAAAAATTGATGCTTATTACTCAATGACCGTCACACACACGGTCATCACTACCCTCCCTCTGCATCTCAATGACTCCAGTATCCAGAGACACTCATGCTTTTGATGCTTTTTTTTTTCAAACATTATATTTCGGTCAAATCAATTCATAACGAATATTTGAATGGTTTAGATTTTTTGTTTTTTTATGTTCTCAACGGCAGATCATTCCATTATTGGTAAAGAAGTCTATCCTAGCAAGTCAATTTCTTTCAAACTTTTTTCTATAAATAATACGATTTTAATGGAAAATTACAAAAATATATATCGGTTAGGCGAAATCACAACTTTAGCACCTTAGCGAACATCCTTGGTTCAACAGCGCACCTATCGAACAACCACAGTTCGACAGGTGATAAAATATTTTTTAAAAAAAGGAAAAACACTGGCTCAGAACCTATCGAACATTGCCTGTTCGATATGTCAGGCAGGGCACTATAGCCGAGACCCTATCGAACTTTGTCTGTTCGATATGTCCTGTTTGGGCACTGTTCATGTACTTTTTTATTTTTTCCTTGGACCTACCTTCCTGTACTAGAAACAGGTAAGCTTTAAAGCCAGCTGTAATTTCAGGCATGGTTTACCTGCATGTAGGCATGTCCAACGTAAGCAATGACATCATCAAATGATCAGATATGCGACAAAAAAAAAGCAAATAATTTGAAGCGTGTACACACTTAATAAAATACTAAATTGAAGCTTTTTGTTTAATTTGCATGTTCGTTGTTTGTGGATGAAAAAAATATGCATGGTCAGCAGATTGAACATCAGAACATGCATGTTAGAAATACTATCAACCAATTTCCTTATTATCTCAATAACTTAATCATACATATCTCCTCTTAACATTTTTTAACCTTCTCACGATGTATTGCCGGCATTTAATAGCACCACACCACCAGGGTTGAAGCCCTAATGCCCAAAAATATTACACATACGTAGGTGGTCTTTCAACAGGATTTTAGTAAGATCAGATATATGTCGTTTGTTTTCGTCTCTTAGAGCATGTGTTAGGGGACACATCCACAGGGTGTGAGTGTGGTGGTGCGTACATGTATAGTGGTGTGTGTGCGTATGTGCGTCTACAATGTACACAAGTTCTCCTAAGCTACATCCAGCAGAGAAAGCCTAATATCTTCATTTCATGCAATGCAACAGGAGGCTTCAGGCTCTCTGTTCTAGGATACAGTGTTTGGTGGTATTTAGTCTCTCCCTCTAGGCCATCCGTGTCGGAGAGGGTTGGTTGCTCAATTAGTCCAAATAGTTACATATAAATGTGGCTCTGACATAATGATTATTTTGTGGGTATCAGGACTAGGTGCAAGGGGGACGCACCAATAAAAGGACGTTACAATTGCAGGTGGTGTTACTTGTTTTCTTAATACCGCTCGTTCTCAAGTACGTAGTGGCTATGCTACTCCATAAATTTTTCTTATGGCTTAACTTCCATGGATTAAAAATTTCAGAATCATGACATGGAAAGATGTTTGCCAGGAGCCTAGGATATATGTAAGTGCTAATTAAATAGCGGAACAAGATATCTCTCGATCAGTGTTGTTGATGTTCGTTCTAAGAACTCTAGCTATTGTACTGTGCCTCAACTCGTGTAGGATTTTAGTGTAGCAAAACCTAGGTATAGAGAGAATGTATTGGATACTGGATATATATATATGATCCTACTCAGGATGGATGCTCACACTCTGACTAGCATATATAGGACATAGCGAGATATATCAGTTGGCGCATGAAGTTGCAGGTTTTTGCATGTTGCCTGTAGAGGAAGGGAGTTGTATTTTCCTTCTGCCCACGCATTTTCCTTTTGTTGCTGTCCGCTCAAAGCCAGGATGCCTCAAACCGGAACCTATACTGAACTGGGGTGCTATTCCGGCCTTTGGACATTATTCCCATTGGTGACTATGGAGATGGCAAAATGGTGAGAGGAAGTGGTGATCACATTCTCCACTTGGTAGTACTTGAAAAGGTGGGAGAAGTCCCCATTGTTTTTTTTTGACCAAAAGAAGTCCCCATTGTTCAGTGAAAGATCAAGGCTAACCTTAAGATTGCACTGAGTATCCTGTTTGTTTGTTTTAAGTAAATTTTGGACCAATAAAATTAAGGTAGATTAAACCACACTCATCTATACAGTTTCTAAATTGTTCCATCTATGTTTCCACCCTAGCTTGGGCTCCCATGTGTTCATCAAGACATAGGACCTCATTAAAGTCCCCACAACACAACCAAAGCACCCTCCACTGACTGTGGACACGTAAAAGGATACTAGAAAACATGCCGGAACACACTTCTTGGTTCATAAACAAAGGTCACGCGCCATGGATCTGACCCTTCCACTAAAACTACAACATCGATACAATGTGGATTGTAGCCACGCATCGAGACATCATATGCCGCTGACCAGATTAGAACAAGACCACCACTGCAGCCATCACAACTTACTGCAAAGGAGCTCGTGTAGCCCAAGGACCACACTAGCCTCCGAGTTTTCTCATTCCTCATCGTTGTCTCTGAGAGGAAGAGGAGATAGGGTCTATCTGTACGTCTTCACTAACCAGCGAAGCTCTCCCATTGTCGCGTCCGATACCAAAAGTTCCATGACATGATACTCATTGCGTCTGCCCGGACTGCTCCGGAGTCACCACCGGATCCGCTGATCAGGAGGGAACAATCCTCTGTTTCTTATTTGAATCTGGGTCAGCCTCGGTTTCTACATCAGTATAGACCCAACCTAGAGCTCTTGTTTCGTACTCGAGATCACCAAAGCCAAACTTTGGTCACCAGGGGTCTTGTTCGCACAAATTCCAGAAGTGCCAAGGCCTTTTGCCCACTCCCTTTTCTACCCTGCAACAATCAGCGCCGACTCAGAAGAAGGAAACAACTCTCTCCCTAGCCCTGTATTTCTTCACTTACCTCGACCGCAAGTGGCAACTCCTTGTGAACGATAACCTTTTTTTCAGCACCAGTTTTGTCATGTGAAATGTTGTAACACTCCACATCATCATTACATTGTGTCATACGCAGAGTACAAACCATTTTTAAGTTTTAGAGTGAAAGCTTGTCACATATTCAGTGAAAGCTTTTTTTTATGTATATATGCTAATATTATAGTATCTTCTATTGTAGGTAAATAGTTTGTTAGCTGTAACGAATGCACGTTGATGATAACCGGCAGGCCGGTACTGTAATTTGCACATGCATATTGCTGCTGCATCAATAATCAGCAACTAATTTTTTGAGTCGAAAGTTATATATGCAGCTATAGTACGCACAGTACAAACCGTTTTATGACAGACTATATGCTTGTCACATTGTCAGTTGCTACCATGTTGCAATGTTTGAGGGTAAATCCCAAGCACAAATATATACGGTACCCGCACTACTACAAAAACCACTGGTGGAGAAAGTATCTTTGGTCGGTCGGCCAAATTCCATAATAGTCCCGGTTCTAATAAAAACCGGGACTAAAAAGCATCTTTTGTCCCGGTTTAAAAGTTGAAGGGCACTTTTTGATCTTTAGTCCCGGTTGGTAAACCGGGACTAAAGATCATTTTTAGTCCCGGTTCAAGAAGTTGTCAAGTTTAAAACAGATCCCAATTATTTTTACTACCGGTTGGTATAAACAACCGGGACTAAAAATAGATCTTTAGTCCCGGTTGTTTATACCAACCGGGAGTAAAGTGTAACCCGAGCCGCTGCCATCTCGATAATATCCGCGCACAGACCTCTCGATCTCCTCCCCTCTCATTAACTCCTCCATCCCTTCCTCTCCCCTTCCCCTCAGTTCGTTCCTCCCCTTCCCCTCCCCTTCCCCTCTCTGTATTCCTCCCGTTCCTCCCCTTCCCCTCTCTGTATTCTTCTGTAGCTGCGGCCGAGCGGGAGCGGCGGCGCCCGGGCGGGTGGGCGCGGCGGCGGCCGGGCGGGCGGGCGGGCGCGGCGGCGCCCGGGCGGGCAGGAGGGCGGGCATGGCGGGCAGGAGGGCGTGCGCGGCGGAGGCCGAGCGGGCGGCGCGGCTGTCGAGCTGTCGCGGCGGGCAGGAGGGCGTGCGCGGCGGAGGCCGAGCTGGCGCGGGGCGGAGGCCGGGCTAGCGCGGCGGCAGCCGGGCGGGCGCGGCGGAGGCCAAGCTGGCGCGGAAGCCGAGAGGACGGAGACCAGGAGGCCGGCGGCGCCCTCATCTGCTGCCGGATTTTTTTTTAATTTGTGATTTTTTTTGAATTTGTGATTCATTGGATTTGATCTGTGATGTATGTGATATTGGATCTGATCTGTGATGTATTTGAGTTGTGATGTATTTCTTTTAGGATTTGTGATGTATTTTTTGTTTGAGATTTTGTGATGTGATGTATTTGTAATCTGTGATGCATTTCTTTCTAATCTGTGATGCATTTCTTCCAGATCTGTGATGCTACTTTGATTTGTGGATGATTTGGGGATATGATTAGTGATATTTTGGAAGTAGATCGATTTGAGCCAAAAAAAAAATCAACCGGACTGCTCCCACCATCTTTAGTCAATACCAACCGGGGCTAAAGATAGATTTTTAGTCCCGGTTATTTCACCCGGGACTAAAGATACCCATCTTTAGTCCCGGATTCGTAGTCTCGGTTGTATAACCGGGACTATAGGGGGGCTCCCAACCGGGAGTAAAGCCCCTTTCTCCACCAGTGAACCCTCATATGGATTGGCTCATAGGTGCCGGTTTATTTAAAACCGCCACCTATAGACATTTTCCCACCTTCCTGTGATGAAAAAAATATAGAACCGACACCTTTAAACACCATAGGTGTCGGTTCTAGCGAAAAAACCGGCACATATATTATAGGTGCCGGTTAATTAAAAAAACCTGCACTTATAGTATACTATAGGTGCCGGTTCTTCTAAAAAATCGGCTTCTATAGCTTTAAGCCGAGCCGACGAGCCGAGCCATCAGCAGCTCAGCGCATCACACCCACCGACACCATCCTTATCTACTCGTCCTTATCCACACACATCCCTTTTCGTGTCTCTCTCCCTCCCCTATCTCTCATTCTCGCGTCACTCTCCCTCCCTCTCTCTCGCGTCGCTCTGTCTCACCGGTGGAGGCAGCGGGCTCCTGCGGCCGATGGTTGCCTAGCGGAGGTGGCGAGCACTCGGGAGGGGAGGCAGTGGGGAGGTGGCGGGCTCCCACGGCCGCACCCTCCCCTCCGCCAGATCCATCGGGAGGGAAGGCGGCGAGCTCCCCTCCGCTAGATCCGGTGCCAAGGGAGCTAGTGGGGAGGCGGCCGGCGGCGAGTGTGGAGAAGGATGACGGTGGTGCGGGCGATGTGGTGGCTGGCGGTATGTGCTCTTTTTTGAAACCCCTGCGGCATGTGTTCTTGAGTTTCTCCTTTTGATTTCTTGTTGAGTTCTAGTCCCAAACCATGAGTTCTTAATGATTTGTACTATTAGCTAGTTTTTGGTGAGCCAGTTCTTGATGAATATACTAGTTTGTTGTTGGAGTTCATCTCGGATCCGAGAGACGGTGATGAAGGGGAGTAGCGATAGGCTCGAGGAGGAACGACGGTGGAGTGTGGGTGGTGAGTTCGGCTCGATTCGAGCCGGCTCGCTCTTTTTTATTTTGCTTGAGCAAAGCTAAAGGTGCCGGTTCTATTTCTGGCATAGGTGTCAGTTTTTTTTATTGGTGCTGACCAATAGGCGCTGGTTGGAAATCAGCTATAGTGCAAAGAGATAGAAGAGATTAAATTCCTCATCTTTTCGCTTATATTTATGCTTATAAGCCAAATTTTGAATTTTCAATCTTAAATTTCGAGTTGATTTTGGGGTTTTTTCACCGTAGTTTATTTTTTAGTTTTTGCCTTTAAATCACTAAGAATACGCATATAAAATTTTTATTTAAAATTTATTTTTCGTTTGCAAATATACCATTTGGCTGAATAAGCCAAACGATGGCACCGTAAGTCACATTATATAGCTGATCAATTCATTGCCCAGCGCTGTTTGCACAACGCCTGGCTATATAAAATCCAAAGCTCCATGTGTGTAGAATGATACATAAATTAAGTTCCAAAGAAAATTCGTATTCACTACTTAGTTCTAGACAACTCTTATTATTAGCACATGCGTGCAATGGTAGACTTGGGAGGTACCGGGACTGTCTGACATACTGATGGTTAATTTGTATCAAACTTCTATCATGATTGGGTAATGTTCTCATAGAGAGGCCAAACTGTCTCCCTGCATGGCCATGGCTTCTTCTCACCCATGACAAAGATCTAACAGCCCTGCACACAGGATACCGTGCAGCTTGCATCCTACTAGTACTGATCACACAGTCACCTTGGTGTCATATCGATGCCAAGCTATATATTTCACTACGTCGAACACCCAGTGTAGTAGCAACGACAAAATGCCAGGTGGAGTTGGCGAAATATCTGTCATTCCATATATATATTTATAGGGCTGAGATAAAGCCACCTTATAATTTGTAGTAAAAATTACTGCTGACCATGCATCCAACAAACATTCATCAACTTGTCACGGGATCATGGTTTTCTATATAACTAGGGAATTGCTAAATGACTCGACATAAAATTAGGGCGAAAATCTTGCAAATTTCTGAGCTTAGGATTTGCTTTACAATTTATGCTATAGCAAACCCTAGCTCCGGGGGGACTAACCGGTCGCGTTGATGTCTTCTGACCAGCCATCAAGGCTGGTTGGTGGCGGTGGGGGTACTGAGTGAGGAGTATGCATATATATGTTTATAGAGGAGTATCCTATATATATATATATGTATATATATATATATATATATATATACATATATATATATATACACACACGTGTATATATATATATATACGTATATATATATACGTACATACGTATATATATATACATATATATATACATATATATATATATATATACATATATATATATACATATATATATATATATACATATATCTATACAAACCATGCAGCAATAGGGCCATGCAAATAAAAAAAAAGGGCAGCTCGATATTTAGTCCCGAATTGGTAGTCTCGGTTTTCAAACCACCGGGACTACATGGGAGTTACCAACCGGGACTAATAAGGGTTTCTCCACCAGTGACTGGTGTGGTCCTTTCTTTCAATAAAATAACAATTCCCTCCGGTTGCATAATTTTAATCGTTTTGAACAATGTTCTGGTAAAAAATTATTAAAAAGTACTTTAGTAAATATAAATATTTACATATTTTTATATATTTTAATAGAAAATCATAGTTAAAGTTATTAACTGCCTATGGCTATAAATTTTTAATTTTTAGTAATAATAGCCCGTGCACCGCACTGGTTGACGCGGCTAGGGGTCTTAATTAAAGAGACAACTAGCACCCTTTAAAAGTCAGCCGAATCGACTCATGCACCTCTCTTTAGGCAATGTATGTGTACATAAAGTTCAAAGCTCCAGTCTGTTGGTTCAACTACATGATGCCATGGATGCATGGCAGTGATATAAAAAGTTTAGATGAAGAAGCTTATCCATTCCAGATATCACACAACTCGTTTACCACATCCGCAGTAGTAGGTTTGGGAGGTATTAGGACAATTCAACATGCAAAATCTCCCCAAGTAGCTAGGTTTGGAGGGCATGATAACGTTATTAGCGATTGACACATGACTGAGTCCCACTATCAATGAACGGAACACTTCTTATCTTGAGTCTACCTTACCGTGTAAGATTAGCTATATGTATTTCCGGTCTGAGAGAAACATGATGCATATTTTTTTTTCTGAGAATTACACAGTACAACGCAGACATTTACAGCACACGCGTACTTACCGTGTAAGATTGGTCTGAGAGAAACATGATGCATATTTTTTTTTTGAGAATTACACAGTACAACGCAGACATTTACAGCGCACGCGTACTCACCCCTATGAACACACGCACGCAAGCGCAACGCCGTTAAATCTTAGAAAATTCACTTCCATGGGGAGTCGAACCCAGGACCTCAGGTGCTACTGAGGCTATTGTAACCACTAGGCTACAGGCCCTTTCGCGGTAGATAGTTGGGATTGACCACGTGTTGAAGATAATGTTTTCACATTAAACACTAGACCTTTTTGTATTAGATTTGTTTGGGCTATAAGATTTTTCTGGTTCCACTAGCCACTTTTGAAGTGTAGAGCAATTCAAAGCTTTGTGATCATGCGCACTTCTAAACTACGCGTGTAGAGTAATTCAGGCGCTTTACACGAGGAAATTAAAACACTAGTGCAGATGCAGCCTTGCGTCATAATTAACAGCATTTGCTTAAAATTGATCTCAAGGCTCGTCGGGCCAA